AAATACAATATCTGACCTCTCTGCAGGGCCTAGAGATTATCTTCCGTGTAGGCCTGGCAATCCTGCAGTACAACCAGACTGACCTCATTCAGCTGGACATGGAGGGCATGTCACAGGTACGCAGCTGTAGCTTTGCGGTGCCTTCTGCAGAAATTGTTTCGTGCACAGATTGAGCCATGAGTCAAAGGCTGAACGTCCCACTTTCCTTTTTGCACGCAAGCTTCCTGAGCTACAAATCTAAAGTTATGATCTAATTTGATAAAAATAAGCTGCTCTCGTTTACGTCCATTCAACGTGATTTTATCTGATTGTCTTCTATGAAATGGAACACTGACTTGCTGCTGAATTTTACACTATGTTTGTGTTTAAATTTTGTGTCCGTCAGGCAGCGTCCACAATCTGGATTAACAGCAATTCAGTAGAAAACATGTAATTTTTTGTTGCTCACTAATAAAAACCTTTTAGATAGGTGAATTTGATCTGGATCTTAATTTCTTATCTTTGATCATTTCTTATCTTTATCTTCCTCACAAAACCTACGGAAAAAACATTAAGTTTGTACCTGTACATTTCCCAGTTTTTTGACTTGCACTGCAAACTTGAATTAATTTGAATACTGTATATGCTTCCAGTTCCTAGAAGTGCATATACATTTTTACGCATGCCATATGAGACTGTCATGTCATTAAATCAAAGTATATTAAAATATCTTAGTTTCTTTTTTTGTTTTTGTTTTTTTTAAGCAGGAGCTCCTGGCTTGCCTCAAGGCCTTTTGTAAATCTGTGGCTGTTTTTTCTTCACTCATTAAAAAAAAAAGCGAGTCTCTGCATCTTCATTAAATATGAATGACCATCTTTGTCATGTGCGTTTCTCCCTTGGGGTCTGCCAGCATTTCCAGAAGGTGATCCCCCACCAGTTTGACAGCTGCCCAGACAAGCTGATCCTCAGGGCCTACCAGGTCAAATACAACCCCAAGAGGATGAAGAAGTAAGAACGCTCGTTAGTTGGCTAACAAATGGTCAGACTTAAAGCTGGAGAGCCTTTATGTAGACCAGTGAGAGTTTTGTTTGTGTCTTACTAATGCTGAGGTTTCTACACTTAAGCGTGTGCATGGTTGTTGTTGTGCGTTTGTGCTGTTTAGGTAACTTCTGAAAGTTGTTTTTCTGCGCTGTACACCTCA